TAACTTAATCCAAAAGATTAAAGAGCTCCAAATGTTTGTAAAGACAAATATGTAAGATTTTTAGTTTTCATTAAAATCTCTATAAAAGATCATTTGTCATTTAAATAATCAAATAATAATAATAAAATATGGAGTTTATTGAGGATCTAAGATTAAAATATGACAACAAATTAAAATAAAAGTGAACAAAGAAATTAATAAATATAAGAATGAAAATAAAGAAAGTAAAAGTCAAAAACAATAGAGAAAACAATGAAACTGAAGGACCTCTTTGAAACAGTCAACTAGACTTGTGAACTTATAGTCAGACTTATCTAGAAAAAAAAAATGAAAGGCACAAATTACCAGTCTCAAGAATGGCGAAGGTTGTATCAGTAGAAACAGTAAAAGGACACTAATATTATGAAAAACTTGATAAATTTGACAGCTTAGTTAAAACAGAACCCAAAGAGGTAGATATCCTAGATAGTTGCCTGCATATCTATTAAAATAATGAACTTGTAGCTTACAAGTCTTCTTGTGAGGACAGTTGTAGGTTTAAATGGTTTCAGTGGGGTTTTAAAAAAATATTTAAAAACCCCAAATATAAATTTTCTACGAATTCTTCTGGAATACTACAGTGAAGGTACACCAACTCAGTTAACGAGACTAGCATTGTCTAGAGACTAAATGAGAGACACTATCCTAAGAAAAATGAAGCTATAGACCATATCACTCATGGATACAGGTGCAAAAATATTGGAATCAAATTTTAGAACTCTGGAGCTGGAGAGATGGCTCAGGGGCTAAGAACACTTCCAGAGGTTCTGAGTTTTACAGCCATCTGTAATGGGATCCAGTGCTCTCTTCTGGTCTGTCTGAAGACAGCTACAGTGTACTCATGTACATTAAATAAATCATATATATTCATATATATATATATATATTAGAAATCTAACCCAAAAATGTCTAAAGTGAATCATTATCACAGCTAAGCAGTCTTTACCCCAAGTATACTGGTTTAATATCCAATAATCAATCGATGTTACTAAGTATTTTAATAAACCAGAAAGGAAAAACCATATTCTCCCCACAAATATAGAAAAAGTTTCATCTAATCCAGCATTCCATTTGGAAAAAAAATCAGCTCTTCAGTAAGTTAGTATTACAATGATTCTATTGTTAGCACACCAAGTTAATTTAAAATGGATTACAGATTGTGGTGCTTTGAATAGGAATGGCTCCCATTGACTCATGCATTTGAATATTAGCTATACGAAGTAGCACTATTAGGCACTGTGGCCTTGTTGGAGTAGGTGTGGCCTTGCTAGAGGAAGTATGTCACTGGGGAGGTAGACTTGGAAACCTCCTATGCTTAAACTATGCCAAGTGTGATATACAGTCTCAGCTCTGTATCTACCTGCATGCTGCCAGGCTTCCCACCATGATGATAATGGGCTAAACCTATGAAACTGGAAGCCAGCTTCAATTAAATGTTTGACTTTATAAGAATTGTCTTGGTCATGGTGTCTCCTCATAGCAATAAACCCCTAAGATCACGGCTCTCTGTAAGCCACAGAGGGAGGCCCTAGGACACAGTGACTCTGCATACAGCTTGGTCTCCAGATTTCACAACTGTGAGATGAGATCCTTTAAGGCACTCTGTCCATGGTAAGTGAGGAGGATTAAGCCAGAAAGGAACCTGTATGTGGAGGATAAGAGACAGGGTAAAATTTCTGTGCCGAAGAGCAGAAACTCCTGCAGTGGACAGAGACGACTGAGTTGAAACCACAGCTTTGAGATACATCTAATATATCTTGATGCTAATTGCTGAGCTTTTGACTCATTATCTTCAAGAACATCCTGAGACTAGGTTAAATAAATAATGCTGCTATTCCATCCCTCCACCATCCATCCTTACTTCCATCCATCCATCCTTCTCTTCCTCCCTCCATCCATCCCTCTATCCACCCATTCTTTTTCTACTTGGCCAATATTTATCGAATATCTTCATTGATTAGGAATTATACTAATTGGTGGGAGTTTAAGCTTCAAGTCTCAAGGATACAGAGAAAAGAAATTTTGCAATAGGAGGAGAGGTGTGGAAACACACCCAGATCTGATAGTAAGCAAATCGCTCCCCACTTCCTAGAAGTGATGTCTACATGAAGATATAAAGATGAGTAGAAGGAGAAGGAGAATGATTCAGTTCACTAGATGAGGGGATAATGGCAGTGCAGTTGCTTGGTGTATGAGTCAGTTCAGAAAGGCTTTGTTACTTGGAGACATGAAGCAGAAGGTAGTGTGGCTGAGGCCGAGAAAGTCATGTCCCGAATGTGAGGGTGGGCTAATGGTAGACAGTATATGATGGGCTGTTACTGGATGGGGGGTAAAGATTTGGCAATCACTGGCAAAGCATGTTTACTCAATGGGCAGATCTGCAGAGATCTTCAAAGCTGGTTAAGGTAAGCCGGCAGTGAGCCAGAAGATGTAGCAATGAGGTTGCCAAAGGAACGTCAAGATCCAAGAGCAAGGGCATCACTGCCAGTGGAAAAGGGGCTGAAAAACAAGAGCATAACGGAAAAACAGTGTCTACTCAGCAACTTTGGCAAGGTCATCGACCTCAGTGAAATCAGAGGCTTTCTGGTGGTTCAAGTGTAGGAGAGGTGTGAAGGAGTGATGTCAACAACTTCCCAAAGGGCTTTGGCAGTGGTAGCAAGGTAGACATTGACCTGGAGTTTTGTATGGGAGCCCATTTTAAGATGGAAGCAAAGATAGCCTATTTGGATATGGTAAACTGGAGGACAAAAGCATTCCTTTATGGGTGGATTGGTTGGGGTTCTGAGGAGAGTGATGGAAAGTGTGGCCCACTCAAATGTGACATGGTGGCAGCAGTTGACCTCTAGGCTAGACTGTGAGAGTAGACTCCTTCCTCTTCCACCTTTTGGCTGTGACCTTTCGCAAGTACTGAACCTCTCTAAGCCTTGGTGTCTTCCTCTGCAGGACATTTTCCCCCACATGACATACTCCTATTCATCTCTGTTTTCTAGACTGTATTCACCACGTGGAGAACCTACAGCCTAGACCGGCAACAGGGTACATCTACAGGAAACCCAGCTCGTCTGGGGTGTGACTCAGGAAACCACAGCTATGTGTCTCCGGGAAAGCCCAGCCTCCCTTTCTCTGAAGGCAGAGCTGTGGTTTGGGGACAGGCAGCTGAGCTGCTGGAGCATTGCACTCAACATCTGAGATTCTTCGGTAGTGAGCATCACTACAATATCTGATGGGTTGTGAGGAGAGTGGAGGGAGGAAAGGCAATTCCTCACTTTCCCATTCTTTCTTTGGTCACCTACTTCCTTCCAGTGGGTGTGGCTGTCTTCCAGTGGGCTTTTCCTCATCGGAATTTGTTAAATTAAATTTGGCCCAAGGAGAGCCTTAAAGCAGGCATCTGAGCCATAACTGAATTGGGAAACTAACTGAAAACTTCACTTAAAACGAATCACTGGCTGAACCTCAACCGCTTACAACACGGGAACTTCTGTGAACTGCAGGTGGTTTACTCTTCAAACTTTATTCCAATGTGGCAAGTGTCAGGCTGCAAGTGGACACAGGGAGGGCAGACAGGTAACAAACCTATTGAACAAATAAGATAGTTAAACCTCTGTAGGAATCATTTTCTCAATAGATTTGTATAAAATTCAGCTTCATAGACTTATGTATCTTTCAGTATAATTTTAAGCCAGTAGCTATGCATGAGAAATGTATATTTTTGATTGAAAAGCTCAATACAATATTTAAACAAAAAGACTCTGTAACAATCTTGAATTACGTTTCCATACGATAATAGGAAGTCTGAATCAGGCAGGGTTCTGAAAAGAAAGTCCCACTAGCACATGGGCCGTGTGCCCTGCTTGCTGTTAGGCTAAGAGAAGAGCCACAGCACTTTAGATATGACTTTGTGGGAGATTAGGAAGCTGTGCTGGGGGGGCTTTACACTTAACCATCTAGGATATTATTTATATGCAGATATGCAGGCCACTCACGATATTGTTCTTTTTTAAGGAGTCGATTAGAAGGCTTGAGTTGATGTGAACTACATTGTAACTTTTCCCAAGACTCAAAGGAATCAGGTTCTCGTTTATGAAGATTTTTATGCAGATGGATTAGTTTCAGCATAGTCTCTGATGATAAGAATGCCAGACGGTAAGAAGAGCTATACAACTCCAGGCTGTCCTTGAGTGCCACGCCCACAAAGCCTGAAGAGACTCTGGTCTCAGCCTCTTCATCCCCAAGTATGCCATGTTCCTTTTGTAGAGGAGATAGTATAGAAAATGCTGCTCCAGTCAAAGACTTTCTGGAGGGTACTGGAGCTCTAGCTTGATGATCACTTCGTCTTGCAAAATAACTTGAACAAGAAGTGGAAAATGATCCCCATTAAGATTAGGTTTAGTCAAGTTTTTTTTTTTTTTTGACAGTTGAGGTAGCCCAAGTCTATGCGTTTTTTTTTTCCCCTTCTTTTTCCTTGAATAGTTGAATGGTAGCTGTGGAATTGTAGGAAGTGTCCCACAAAGGATTTCCTCTGGTCATTGTTTTTCTCTCAGGGTTTGTTTTTTTTTTTTTTAAATGTGTTTGGTACTGAACAAGAATCCTTCTCTTTGGGTTCGTCAATGCAGAGTTTAAAAGGCCAGGGCAGGATGGAAGTCACAGCCTTGCTTCCTTCCATGCATGGGGCCTCATGCTTCACAGCTTGTCTCTTTAAATATTGGGAAGGAACAGAGTTCTCTGCCTTCCTTCCCTCTGTTTCATTCTTGGACATCTGAGTGAACAGTGCTTTCCTCAGCTCTGTACAAGGAACACTGTATGGAGCAACCACCACGTAAGCTTTAGCTTTGCAGGGTGCACTGATTCATGCAGGCTTGCCCTCTTTTCAAAGCTGTCTCACCCCCAGCGACAGCTCATGGGCCCAGGGTCTATCTGTCTGTAGGGGGTGTTCTCAGAAGTCTCCAGAGACAGAACTCACAGGAGATACCAATCTCACAGGAGGTATGAAAATGTCTTTGCCTTTGAGGAGGTGGTTCACAGGATTATGGAGGACTGAAAGTCTAAATCACACAGGCCAGGCTGGCAGGATGAATGCTCAGGCAGAGCAGACATTGTAGAGCAGGGTGGAGGGCCCAGTGAATTCTCTCTATTCAACAGTCTTTACTCTCTTTAAGATATCAACTGTCTGATGAAGTCTGCCAGCAGGAGGAGGACCATCTCTTTTAGTCATAGTAAACCAATTCCTAAGGAACTGTCATCCCAAATGTTGTAGAGTCTTGTTTGACAAGGTAACTGAGTAGCAACGGCCTAGCAGACTTGATATAAAATTAGCCAGCACTGTGGGGTGCAAGATCCAGGTTGTCATATATACTTGTTAGTGTTCAGAGAGTAGTCACACAGACACAGACACAGACACACACACACACACACACACACAAATACATGCACAGACACGCGCACACATGCACAGATATAGATACAAAGACACACACAGACATAGGCACATACCCATATGCACTGACACAGAAGCAAATACACGCACACACACATATACATAGATACAAAGACACACAGACATAGGCACACATACAGACATAGGCACACACATATATAGGCTGACACAGACATGCAGATATAGACACACAGACACAGAGACACACATGCACATAGACAGATACACAAAAAGAAAAACAGACACATAAACATGTACACACAGACATGCACACACAGACAGACAGACACTGAAAACCAGACACACAAACATGAACACACACACACACACACACACACACACACACACACACACACGGAATCCTGTCCATAGAAAGAAAGGAAATGCAAGCCAAGCTTTGGATAAAGACATTTTTCTTTTCTTTTCTGCCCTGGGAAATCAATGGGGGAAAAGACATGGTACCTGGACTTCAATGACTCCTTTGGACAGACTCTACTGCAAACCTTTAAATGCTGACGTTAGCCAGCTGCTGACTTCCTGCATTCCTGCATTTGTGTAGGGATGGGAAGGGGCAACGAAGTAACGTGTCTAGATGAAGTCTACAAAAACACGTGTGTAGATGAAATCTACATGTACACACAGGGGAGGCAGCACAAGATGTCAAGGTGGAATCCTCGTTTGCTGTGTTCAGTTACTTTATCTAGAAAAGAAGAAGTAAACAAGAAGACCTACACTTAATAGGCTGTGAGCATTAAATGTGGTAGGACTTATATAGTGATGATTAGCATTGTCATCAGAACAGTGCGTCTCAGCTGTGCCTTTGCATACGTCATGCATGTTTATTAATCTTCAAGAGGCAACCTGTACTTATGGCAAATAAATTAAAAGCAGGAATCCTATATCAAAACCCTATGAAGGTACCATGCACAGTCCATACCAGCTACTGCCTTTAAGAACATTTATTTTCAATGGTACTTCATTAGTGGAACGTCATTGGATAGAATCCAGGCTGTATTTTGGTTTAAATTAAATTAGAACATTTTAATGTGTTACAGAAGATGCTGGCCTGACACTGCAGTCAGTTCAGCATAATGGGTTTCTGAAAATCAGCTACAGCAGGATGCTTTCTGCTGGGGAGAGGAGCGGCATAGGAGGTCTCTACTTTCCAGAGTTCAAGGAGGCTCGCCTGCTGGCACTTGAGGCTCAGGTGCACGTCAACCTGCTGGAATGAGAGCCTTAGCACAGTAATGAGAGCCAGTGGGATCGTGCGTGATGGGCTGCCTCCTCTTGATAAATGCCTGCACAGATGCTGCAGCTTCATGCTCAATTAATCTCAGCTGAATTGATCAACCAGTTATAAAGAAAGCCATTAGCAATAAGGCAAAACTTCCCCAAGAGCTTTCATGGAAGGAGAGGAGAGGAAAATTTTTTTTTTTTTTTTTTAGAAACTAAGATGATAAACTGAATTTGAAAAGAACGAAGCACTACTGCTGGGCTGACTCAACGCTAAGAGGGCGACATAACAAAACCATTTCTTTTTGTCCCCCTATTTATCTTGGGAATCATTAAAAGAAAAGTTCTTAAAGAAGCAGATTCTGACAAAGCTTAGCCTATTCTTGAGTTGGCATTGGGAAACTTCTCGCTCTTGTATCTATCTGATGGCACAGTAGGATGGTAAGATCAATTTTCTGTGACTTCAGCATTTATTCATAATTATCATTGGTGTGTGAGAGTACATGACGTATGTTTGGTCACCTTTGCTATGGCGCATATATGGAAATCAGAAGACGACTTTGTGGAGTTGGTTTCTTTCCACTGTTACATGGGTTTGGGGATCAAACTCATTATTAAACTTGGGCTATTACCCAATGAGCCATTTCACTGCCCCATTGCTATTTTATGGGTAAAGAAATGGAAAAGAATTGAAATAGTTGGGCCAGGATTCCCATGGCTGAGCTGTGCTCTTGGCCTCTGCCCTTTGTGTTCTGTGCTGCTTAGATCTCGGTCCTGACCTTGCCCTCAGGATCAGGTGCTCTGTGCTGAATTTCCAAAACCTTACTTCATATTGAAAATACTACGTTATAGTTACATTCCTTAAAAGATAACTGTAGCGAGATGTTTATTCTGTTACATTGTATTCGCAGTGGAGCTCCGTGATTAGGCAGTAGAAGAGGAGATGGAGCTGGAAGAAGAAGAGAGGGAGAGGAGGGGAGAAGAAGAGGAAGGGGAGGAGAAGGAGGCTATCAGCCATGGAGAACCACGGATGGGTCAAAAGCTGTTCTGGGTAGCAACTTCTATCAAAAGGTTAGATATTGGTAACAACTCTAATTGTGTGGGCATCTTGTTAATTGAGCATTTCTAAATATATAAATCCTTCGGATAATCATTAAGCTTTAAGAGTCTCATTTCTACTGGGTATTGAGAGGATGGCAGATATTGTCTGGGGTTCAGCTGAGCTTTGTGGATGCAGCGTGGTGGATTAGCAGAGCCATCCCCCACTCTGGTGTCTCCTGGGTGCCAGGGCCTGCGCATCTAGCTAGCCAGAGCCTCAGTCAGAGCTAAGGGGCAGCAGGAACATGGTGGCTGCCTGGGAATAAGCCAGACTGTGTGCCGTTTTCTAAAAATCACCCCTACAGATAACTCTGGTAGA